CTTCGTTCCAGACGTCCATATATACGTATAAAATTCAGGGATTCAATCACATATGAATGTGAAATAATGCATAAAAAAAAGAGTATTTCTACATATTCACTCACTAAGTAATGAATCTATAATATAACCGCGCTAAATATATATATACATATATAACTGAAATGAAGGAAATATATATTTACGAGATTGCAAATGAACATTTAAGGGAAGGAAGAATAAACACCGTTATCAGAATCTGAGGAATCATTAACGCGAAAACGGGATTAAAATCATCAAGTTTTGCCAAAACACAATCACCTTTCGTTAAATAAAAAAAATGACACAAATTAATTTAATTTTTTTTTTTTAATTTTTCTAAAAAAATGGAAAAAATTATATTTAATTAATTTTAAAATCTAATTTTAAAAGAAAGAGAGGGATTTGTACAAATTATTTTGCTTAAATATATGGAGTGCAAGCAAAAAAATTGGAAACAAAAAGTGAAATTTAAACCAATGACAACTTGAAGTGATATAATTAAGCCTCTTGTGAATAGTTTTAACCCCCTACTAAATAGGTCAGGCTAAAACTTTGCCGATAGCTTGTCAGCTGCCCATAAAGCTCGACCTTATGTTTAAATAAACAACGAAATGAGGTTTAGAGATAATGTTTAACCTTTGCACGTGCCTTATTGCACTTGAGAGGCAGATGAAAACACAAATATACGTAGAAAGAATAGCTTATTTATAGTTTCCTTTTTTAGAGTTGTTCTTCTTTTTTAAAAAAAATTCTGAAGGAGAACATAACAGATATATTAAAAAAATGACTGAAATTAGAATAGACGATCCGTGAAAAAAATAAAATTAAACATTTTATACATTCACTATTTATACGTTACATTTTATGCTATCTTTTTCACCTTTTTTATTTGCAAAATTGCTAATTTTTCTTTTCATATATTTGATAAATCTTTTTTGGGTTGTTTCGTTTTTTCTTATATAAATACTACTTTCTTTCAGTTTTTCTTATTTGTTATTTTCTCATTTTTACTTTATAAATTTTCAATCGTTTCTCTTTTCATTTATTTGCTGTCTTATTTTCCTTAATATATTTGCTATCTTCTTTCTATCTTTCATTTATTTTTATATTTTTCGTTTATTTATTTGCTATCCTTTTACGTGCACTTTCGTTAATAAACATACTATCTACTTTCTTTTATTTATTTGCTGTCTTTTCACACTTTCCTTATTAGTTATCTTTATTTTTACTTTATTAATTTTCTATAGTTTCTCTTTCCATTTATTTGCTGAATTTCTTTCATTAATATATTTGCTACATTCTTTCTATCTTTTATTTATTTTATACTTTTCTTTTATTTATTTGTTATCTTCGTTTGAGTACTTTCTTTTAAAAACATACTATCTACTACTTTCCTTTATTTATTTGCTCTCTTTTTTACTTTTTCTTATTAGTTATTTTCATTTTTACTTTATTATTTTCAATCGTTTCTTTTTTCATTTATTTGCTGTCTTTTTTTCCTTAATATATTTGCTATCTTCTTTCTATCTTTTATTTATTTTTATATTTTTCTTTTATTTATTTGCTATCCTTTTAATGTGCACTTTCTTTTTTTTTATAAACTTACTATCTACTTTCTTTTATTTATTTGTTGTCTTTTTACTCTTTTCTCATTAGTTATCTTTATTTTTACTTTATTAATTTTCTATCGTTACTCTTTTCATTTACTTGCTGCCTTTTTTTTCATTAATTATTTTGCTACATTCTTTCTATCTTTTATTTATTTTTATACTTTTCTTTTATTTATTTGCTATCTCCTTTTGTGTACTTTCTTTTAAAAACATACTGTCTACTACTTTCTTTTATTTACTTGCTCTCTTTTTACTTTTTCGTATTAGTTATCTTCATTTTCCTTTTATTAATTTTCATTAGTTGTTTTTTTTTCGATTTATTTGCTGTTTTTTTCTCCTTAATACATTTGTTATCTTCTTTCTATCTTTTATTTATTTTTATACTTTTCTTTTATTTATTTGCTATCCTTTTATGTGTACTTCCTTTTTTTATATAAACATACTATCTACTTTCTTTTATTTATTTGTTGTCTTTTTGCTCTTTTCTTATTAGTTATCTTTATTTTTACTTTATTAATTTTCTATCGTTTCTCTTTTCATTTATTTGCTGCCTTTTTTTCATTAATACATTTATTACATTCTTTCTATCTTTTATTTATTTTTATACTTTTCTTTTATTTATTGCTATCTCCTTTTGTGTACTTTCTTTTAAAAACATACTATCTACTACTTTCTCTTTTTACTTTTTCTCATTAGTTATCTTCATTTTCAATTTATTAATTTTCATTTGTTTTTTCTTTCATTTATTTGCTGTTTTTTTTTTCTTAATATATTTGCTAATTTCTTTCTATCTTTTATTTATTTGCTATCGTTACTTTAATATCCTTAATTTTCCATCTTTCCAACTTTCACTTATTAGCCAACTTCTTTTTTCTTTTATATGTTTGCCATATTCTTTCTGTTATTTAATTGCTATATTTTTATTTTATTTGTTTGCCATCTTTATTTTCCTTTTATTAAATATTCCTTCATTTCTACTTTCATTTATTCGTTACTATCCTTAAATTACTTTTTTACTATCATTTTTTTCCTCTTCGCTATCTTTTTTTCTTTAATTATTTGCTAGACTTATTTTTGTTTATTAATTTGATATATTTACTTCTTTCATTTATTTCCTATCTTTTTTTCCATGTATTTTTTTTTTATTCATTCGCTTTTTTTTTCAACAAAAATTGTGGTATGTATTAATCCGCTAGCTGAAATTAAGAATTTTTTAAACACGTAAAGTTTTCATATACAGCAAGAACTGGCATAGATCCAAATAAATCATGAATAATCATTTACGTAACAATTAAAATCCGCTAAAAGTAATAATTTAAATAAATTAATATTATTATTTACTAAAAAAAAGAAGTTAAAAATAAGAAGTTAATAAAAAAAAACTTAAAAAAAAGAAAAAAAATGAAGTTAATACCTCAAATTCTACTCCAATTAAATATATAACTAAATAATGGTATAAAGTTATCGGAAAGAAATATTAAAAATATTCACAATAAAATATTTCGAAACAATAATTATGTCAGATTTGAAGACATCAATATAATTAATTAAATAAAGTAATAAAATTCTCTAACATCAGTAATTGTATCCTATTTGAAAATCAATTAACGCATTTTATTCGAATGTTGAATTAATTGAAAATTAATAATTTCAAAAATGTTGAGAAATCAAATTCTAACCCAAATCAGAGCTATAAAAGCCTAAAAAAAAACGTTTAAAATAATAATAAAGGTAATTAAAGAAAATAATAAAACAAGAGCCATATACACAATATCCCATTATTTCAAACATTAAGCAAACCAGCTTTGAGCTCTCTACACCCGAAGGGTAAACTCGAGTAATAAATACCGGGAAAGCCTCAAGAGTTCAACCGTTCCAAACGAGTAAACACGAGGGCGCAAATAAAAGCATCCTAAGGATAGAAGCCCAAGAAAGAAATCGGGCGATATTCTGTACTCAAAAATCGCCAAAGAACTGAAAGTGAAGAAGCTGTGCTCCATTTACCGGCTCTATAAATAAAAAAACAAGCACCCGGTAGAGAAAAAAATGGAGCGTGACACGTTTATTTTTTTCAATTTATTTTTTCCTTCGATCTTAGAATAATAGTTGACACCCTCTCCAGTTAATTGGGACAAGCTTTCCCCCCGTGATATACGGTTGTTGTTTATTGAATTCGAATTTCCTTCTTGTTTATGCTAAGTACCGAAGAATATATTTTGGCGATATCCATACGTTTTATTATGTAACATTGTTAGTTGCTTTCATTTGCTGACCTCCTTATTTATGAATGTAGCAACACGATAAAATCTCAATTCAAATAGATGTTAAAGTTTTATAGTAGCTGGTAAACTATTACATTAATTATTTTGTTGGATTAATATTTTATTTTTATTACGTTTTTTTTTTTATTATTATTAACTCGCTTTTGTGTCAGTATGGAATTTTGCATTCCAAATTTCGGCCAGCTAGTGCACTAAAATCATCATTAGAGCTCTATATCGTTTGGCAAAAATGCCGGGCAGTTGAAAAATCAACGCAAGCGACAAAAAATTCAAAACTGAGATTTTTTTTGTATTCGTCATTTTTGTATGCTAAATTACAAAAAATATTTTGAAAAAAATGAATTTTTTTATCAATTTTTTGAAGTTCTATTTTAGTGTTAGTAAATAATGATCAAATCACTTTTCTATAAATCTATCGCAAAGCACTTATTAGTTTTTATAATTGCAAAACAAAACAAAAGTTTTAATCGTTTCCTGATCGCTTAGCTCAGAATTAATTTATTGCTAAATTATCGCCACAGAGAGTCAAATATCCGACCAATTTCAGACAAACTAGAGTACTCAAACCTTCCTTCTGGAGTTCTGTGCCTAATGGCAATACAAGTTTCAATAGTCTCCTAATCGTTATCGCCTTATGCAAAAAGTACTAACCGTTCTGGCGTATCTCTCAAATTAAAAACAGTTAATAAAATTTCGAAGATCTATTACTTTGGAGCAGGTATTTATAGCAGATATGATTTTGTATCAGTTATTTTAATATTGAGTAATTTCAGCTGTAACATGTAATTTTATAATACCTGTTACGACCCATCTCTAATTATAATATATGAAAAAAATTAGAAAAAAATAAGCGAGTTCTTTTTCCAACTTAGTGTTCCTTTATATATTTAAGTAATTTCTTAGTCAAAAAATCACAGAAAGTGAAGGCCACAAATTACATTTCTTCTTCAACTTTATAATACGAAAAGAACAAAGAAAAAGTAAAAAGTGTATCCGGTCATTACGAATTAATTATAAAATTGGAATGTCGGCAGCGCCAAGGCGAGAATAATTTTGAGTAAATGGAATAATAAGAAAACATGGGACTCACCTGTGATGGGGGGCAGGCAGGGGGATTTAGGACTACAAGAGAGACTCATGAGAACCATGGCTGCCATGCAATCATCCATGACACCATCGTCTGCACTTGACCTTCGTTTCCGGCCACTATAAAAAAGAACGTAAAATGTTCCGTTAGGTTCCATTTGCATGGCAATAAAAATTGTTACAGTGATATTTTTTTCCAATAAGCTGAAATGAAAAAAAATAATTCTAGAAGTTAGAAGTTAAAAGTTANCAAAATTGAGATTTTTTGTATTCGTCATTTTTGTATGCTAGGTTACAAAAAATATTTTCAAAAAGAAGACTTTTTTTTAATCAATTTTCTGAAGTTCTATTTCAGTGTTAGAAAAAAAGTAATGGTCAAACCACTTTTCTAGAAATCTTAAAGCACTTTATTTGTTTTGACAGTTGCAAAACAGAAGAAAAGTTTTAATCGTTTCCTGACCGCTAAACTCAGAATTAATTTATTGCTAAATTATCGCCACAGAGTGTCAAATATTCGACCAATTTCAGACAAACTAGAGTACTCAAACCTTCCTTCTGGAGTTCTGTGCCTAATGGCAATGCAAGTTTCAATAGTCTCCTAATCGTTATCGCCTTATTTTAGGCACAGGAAATTCGACAACAGCCACAACGTCATGTATCTAATGCAAAAAATGCTAACCGTTCTGGCGTATCTCTCACATAAAAAACAATTAATAAAATTTCGAAGATCTATTATTTTGGAACAGGTATTTATAACAGATATGATTTTGTATCGGTAATTTTGAGTAATTTCAGCTGTAACATGTAATTTTAGAATACCTGTTACGACCTATCTCTAATTATAACAAATGAAAAAAAATATTAGAAAAAATCAATAAAAAAAATAAGCGAGTTCTTTTTCCAACTTGGTGTTCCTTCTTATATTTAAATAATTTCTTTGCCGTTCTGGCAAAAAATACTAGCCGTTCTGGTGTATCTCTCAAATTAAAAACAGTTAATAAAATTTCGAAGATCTATTATTTTGGAACCGGTATTTATAACAGATACGATTTTGTATCTGTTATTTTAATATTGAGCAATTTCAGCTGTAACATGTAATTTTATAATACCTGTTACGACCCATCTCTAATTATAATATATGAAAAAAATTAGAAAAAAAGCGAGTTCTTTTTCATAGATATTTTCCTTCATATATTTAAGTAATTTCTTAGTCAAAAAATCACAGAAAGTGAAGGCCACAAATTACATTTCTTCTTCAACTTTATAATACGAAAAGAACAAAGAAAAAGTAAAAAGTGTATCCGGTCATTACGAATTAATTATAAAATTGGAATGTCGGCAGCGCCAAGGCGAGAATAATTTTGAGTAAATGGAATAATAAGAAAACATGGGACTCACCTGTGATGGGGGGCAGGCAGGGGGATTTAGGACTACAAGAGAGACTCATGAGAACCATGGCTGCCATGCAATCATCCATGACACCATCGTCTGCACTTGACCTTCGTTTCCGGCCACTATAAAAAAGAACGTAAAATGTTCCGTTAGGTTCCATTTGCATGGCAATAAAAATTGTTACAGTGATATTTTTTTCCAATAAGCTGAAATGAAAAAAAATAATTCTAGAAGTTAGAAGTTAAAAGTTATTCAAATGAAGATATAAAAAGCATGTAATGTTTAATGGAAGAAAAAACACTTAGAACTAGGATAACTAATAAGTTTTTAAAAAAAGATTCTTTACCGTAAACATACCATTATTTTAATCAAGTATCAATATTTAGATAATGATGTTGAAAATATGAAGTATTCAAAAAACACCTCATTCTAGAATATGAAGGGAAAAAAATCCAAAATAGATCTTTTACTATAAATAAATCATTATTTTAATACTTAAATATCGATACAGAAAACACTCAGGTATAAGATAGCTTAATAAGTTCAAAAAAAGATTCTTTACAGAAAATAGACCATTATTTTATAGGAGTTTAATTATTCAGATGATTATATTGTAAAACCTAAACTATTTAAAAGCACTTAGGTCCAAGATATATAAAAATAAAAACATTCTTCCTTACATACAAAACTCTATCCTAACAGAGCTCAGTTATTTATTTAAAAGATATGTTTTGAACAGGTAATGTTTAAAACCACTTAGTTTTAGGATATGTAATAAGTTTCGGAAAAAGACTCTTCATTATAAGCAGATTCTATATTGTAAATTTATTAAAAGAAGAAAAAGTCGTTTAAATTTTTCAACAACAACCAAATATTTCAAATATACAATTCTCTGCCATTTCCAGAAACAGCTGCAAAATCAACAATCAAACTTTCAATCTACTAAATCAACAAATAAATAATAATAAATAAATTCGACTTTTAAATTGAGTACAAAAAAATGCAATTACAAAAATTAATAGGTTTGTACTGCATGATTAACTAGAATTTTATTATAAAACTAAAAAATAAAACTGCACATATTCAATAAATAAAGGTTTGAGATGTGCTTTAGCCCAAAATTTAATATGAAGCAAAGAAGAAATTCCATAACAACTAGAACTGGGTACCTGTATTGTAAATAAATATTTCTTGAAATGTAAACTAGTATAATCAAAGTTATGCGTTATCTTATTTGCGAAAACTTTTGACCTGTTAGATCATTAATACCTAATCACTCTCTCCGATTGCCTATTTTCTTTCTAGTTAAGATATTTTTCATAACAACAATCTTTACAAGCTTTCAAATATAAGCATTTAGATTAGTTCACGATGTTTTTTTAATATTAATTGTTCAAAAGTAAATTCTTAAAATCTTAAGATAGCACTCATAATTATTCAAACTTTGGTAAGAAAATTTGCCAATTCATTTTTTAAAAAAATACTTTCGTTTTTTAAAATGCTAATAATGCATGTAATAAGTTAATGGTTCAAAAATCAATTAACCAAGTTATGTATATAAAAAAAAACTTCCAGTTAAACTGAAATCTTGCAAATAATTTTTAAAAAATTTAATGGTTATAAAAATTAAATTTAACAATCTTCCTATTTTTAACGACTATCCCATAACTTTCAGATAAAATAAATTCTGTAAAGAGATAAAATAAAAAGACAGATGAAAACATTTTTGAAACAATAAAATGTAATAATGTATAGAATTAAACGTTGAGAGATGATTTGAGAGGATAAAATGATAAAATGCAATGAGATGAATTAGATGATAAAATGCAATAATTTAAAGATATTGAGAGTTAAATGATAAAATGTAAATATTTATGTAGATAATTTAAAGGTGCTGAGATTTTGGGAAAAAAACTTAATAATGTTGAGAATTTAATGATACAATGTAAAATAATTTAAAGGTATATAGAATTTAAAGATGCGAATATTTCGAAAGAGTAAAACGAAATGATGTAGAGAGTTTGATGTTAAGTTGCAATAATTTAAAGATGTAGGGACTTTGAAAAAATGAAATCTAATGATTTTATAATATTATGATCCATAAATTGAAAATTATTACTGATATGTAGTGAAATTATAGGTCTATTTTTATATCAAAATTTATATATTTTTTCTTCTGAATTTTATATAATATGTTTCTAAAATCCAATTCAACGAATTCAGAAATTTGCAAAACAAACATAAATTTAAGTTGTTTAATGTTATTATATTTCCCTTAAATATATTGACCTAAAAAATTTAAACAGAGAAAATTCAAAACAAGAAACTGTCGTTAAGAATATTAAAAAAGTTCAAAGATATAAACTCTTCTGTGCAAAAGAGTTCAACTAAATGGAGCCCCAAGGGTTCCTAAAAACACGAAGACCTATCCGTTTGAGTTCGTAAAGTAAGCGATGAGTTTTTTTTCAAGAAGGGTGCTCCTACGGAGCGCGACCTTCTTCCCCTCTGGGCCATTGCTGGCCCATTTTTCGAGCTTTTCCGCGTTGCTGAGTGCCTCATACTTATAAAACTTCAAACACAAATATATATTTTCAAGAAATAATTTAATCCTAATTTTTCTTAAAAAAAAGAAAAAAATACACTTATATAAACGTTTTATAATTATACGATTCAGATCAGAAGTAGCATTACACTATCATTATACTATTTTTATCACTACTCGTTTATTTAGTTTCTTTTATCATTTTTAATGTTTTACAATGAGTGCTTTTTAAAAACCGGAGTCAGTGTGGCACGCGCCAAATTGTCAAAACTACTATCATTCGTAAAGAGTTTAAACTATTCAATCGAATTAAATGATCTGGAACGAACCCAACTCGCTTTGGTTTTTAACAAAGCAGCCAAATATTTAAAAAAATTAAATGATTAGTAAAAACAAAAATAAGTTGCATGCCTTACATATTATTTATTTATTTATTATTATTATTTATTTATTTATTTATTTATTATTATTATTATTATTATTTTTATTATTATTATTATTATTATTATTTATTTATTTATTTATTTATTTATTTATTTATTTATTTATTTATTTTTGAAAAGAAGAAGAAAAATAAATTGCACTACAAAGCAGTGCAGTGTTTTTAATTTAGTTTTTGATAACTAAGTATTAGAATCATCCTGAAACTTCCTCCCCCTTTAAAGAAAACATCTACATAATTTATTTACATAAAATATAACAGTTAGTTAACTTTGCTTTAATCAAATTATAACAAAGTTTTTTTTTTAATTCCATTTTACAATTTCCTAAAATTAATCAATTGCTAAGCTAATTTAGAAACATAATCCAATGAAATATTTAATTTGAAAACCATAACTGAAATTTTACAATTTTCATAAGTGGTTAAAAGTATCATAAGTGATTAACATAATCATGCCTTTTGAAGAGTGTTAATTAGAACAATTTTTGTACTTTACTGACAACATTAAAGGGCAGCAGCCTTAAAAAAAGAATTAGTTTATAAAAACAATCTTATGAAAATTAATGAAAGCCCTTTTAAATATAATAAATATTTTCTTAATAAAAAATTAGTAAAATTCAATTGTTATAAATATTTTTAATAGTGAAATTGAATTTCACTATTTCTTAGAACATGGCATGAAATCTATTTATTCGGTTAAATTTGCTTTTCAACTTTGTATTGTTACTAAATATGCGGTAATAAGAACTATAATTTTGTATGGTAATAATGTGTGGTAATACTATAGAGCAGAATTTCCGGTAAAATATTACCATAAGAGTGGAAATATTACCAAATGAATATTGTGCATTTTGGTTTTATTACCTAAATTAAGTTTTTTTAAAAAAATAAATAAATAAATAAAAAATAAAAAAATAAAAAACAGAAATGACATTACTGCATTAGCACATTAATTTTACCAAAATTTCTTTTCTCTCAGCAATACAATTTTTAATTAGAAAAACAAATTTTATTAGTTTTTTTTTCTTTTTACGAAGCAAATCAATATCAATATAAAAATGTGAAGAAAAATTTTTTTAATGCATTGTTCAATAGAAGATTTGCGAAAACACTTTAAATTTTTTTTTCAATAAAAAGTTGCAACCAAAATACATTATAAACCTTTTCTAAACCTTAAAAAAAATCATAAATATAAAACACTAAAGATGATAGGTAATGCAAATTCTACTCTACTTTAAAAACTATTAATCAATGAGATTTAAATCAAAAGAATCGAGAGAGATTGACCAATAAAATTTCGATCGTGAGTTGCAAGTGAAAAAAAAAAAAAGAATACTTTCTCTGGATTTGCAACGCGATGACCAACAGTGGCAAATATGAGGTCACAAAACACTCTCATATGGGTCCAAGTGAGAGCGATAAAGGCCGAATGCTGTCCCACTAACCCACTCACTCAATGTCAAATCCTTCAACATTACGAAGATGCCATAAAGTTATCACTTTTATAAGCCTTCTCCCATTTTTGTCTTCCATTTTACATAAATTCTTCATCATTCATTTCAAATTGCTTACAATAAACGCGCGAAAACACGACAAATACGATTATATTTGCATCTGAATGCCGGTGCGTGTTCTCTGAGAACTTTTTTAGAGTGCGCAATGGGTAATAAATATTTTTTTTTCTTGAGAAATGAGAAAGTGACGATTTTTTTCAGAAAAAAATTACAAAATGGTAGACAATATTTTAGATCCCTCCTGTTGTTACCATGTTGGAATTTGATTATAAATCCTGCGTTTTCAATAAAAAAAAAAATTAAAAAAAACAGTGATTTGTATCTGTTTTAAGCGAAATCAATAATTTACACATGGTTCGGAACAAATATTTTAATTATTTATTTTTTAAGTAAGTAAAAACAAACGATTTTTTTTAGAAAAAATTACAAAATGGAAGACAATATTTTAGATCCTTCCTGTTGTTACTTTGTTGGAATTTTATTATAAATCCTGCGTTTTTAATAAAATAAGAAAAAAAACAGTGATTTGTATCCGTTTTAACCGAAATCAATAATTTATACACGGTTTGGAACAAATATTTTAATTATTTATCTTTTTAAGTAAGTAAAAACAATAATTTATGT